AAAAATATCAATGAGAGAGAATCATTGATCGGCTGCCTCCTGCACACCCCGCACCAGGGATCAAGCACAAAACCCCGCGCATGTGCCCTGACCGGGAACTGAACCAGCGGCCTCTTGGTGCACGGGGCACGCTGGCTGGGCTGACTTGTTGTGTTCTCCGCTAGATGCTGAAGCCGCAGCCCGCTAGATCTATTGTGGATGCCTATGTGCTGCTGAATTTGGGAGATTCAGTAACAACTGACCATATCTCTCCGGCTGGAAACATTGCAAGAAACAGCCCTGCTGCTCGCTACTTAACTAACAGAGGGTAAGTGTGAGTGAGGTGGGAGCTGAGGACCGACCGAAGGCAGCAGGGAGGGACTAGGCCAGCATTGCTCTTCCGCCTGGTCCTGTTGGAAGCAGACTGTGGCTCTTCACCGAACCCTGGTTCTTGGAAACCAGTCAGTCTTTTGTTTGCTGCTTCGAAGCTTCTATGGGTGAATCTATCAGCAGGTGAACCCTGTCATGGGGAGAGGGGACAATCTTCGAGCAAGTATTGTGCACATTCGGCTCAACTATCATTTCTGCCCTGGCTTGCCAAGTAGATAAAGCACAAGGGTCTGCTTTTAACCGCGGCAGAGCCTGGCTGCACTTGAACTGCTCAGCGGAAACATAACGTGAACTGCATTGCCGTTCCCAGTTAAGACATGCTCTTTACAGAGAACTGCTTGTAAGACTGGCTGTTCACACACTCATCAGCAGTCCTCAGTCATGCACCGATTTTAACAGGTACTACACCAGGGTTATCTGCTGTTAGCTAGTAGACCCGTATTAATCAAAGTCGGTCCTGACTCTCGCTTTCCGTGAGAGTCATCTGGGGAGATAAAGACTCCTGGTTCCCCTCCCACCTCCCGGATCAGCTTCCTCTGCGATGGGGCCCAGAGCCAATTCGAGGAACAAAATCCAACACCTTGTTTTGATTGGTGATTGGTGACCTCTTTTGAGACATGGACTCTAGGGAACTGAGTAAAAGCAAATATAATACCTTCCCAGAAAAATGCACATATCATAACATCTTGGATATCATTTTAGTTGCTCCTGAAACCCATTTATAGGTTCACTCGGTCCTCAATTAGATCTAACCTTTAAATCACATTAACACTCACACTCATTTCCCAGCATTTTAAGGTGCAGCCCAGTGAAGGGGTCACTGTGTTCGTAGTAAAATGTTGTCTCTGACGTTCTAACGTCCCTCTGACCAGGGTTCTCTCTGATCACAGGACGGAGGGATAGCTGTTCTGCCTCCTGGGTACTGCTCTGGTTTCTATCTTATGAAATTGTAAATCCTGCTGCCAGTTGTGTGTCTTCCCTTTCAGTCCAGTTCCTGATAACTGGGGGACAAATCGGAACCCCCTTCTGGTTAGCTTATGGGACATATTTTATGTTTCCTCCATTTTGGGCTCCACCTGACCCCTGACCAACTTACTTAGATTATTTGTCTTTACTTCCTTTTTCTTACCCATTTATTTTTAAGCCTCACCCAAGGCTATGTTTATCGATTTTAGAGAGAGAGGAAAAAAGGGAGAGAGAGAAACACCGATGTGAGAGAGAAGCATCAATCGTTGGCCTCCCGGATGTGCCCGGAGTGGGGATCGAACCCACGGCCCTTTGGTGAACAGGACAACCCTCCAACCAACCACCTGGCCAGGGCTTTCTTACCCATTTGTCATATTTTAATTTTTGTGAAACTTTAAAGGCTTCCGTACTGAATAAATTAAATACTCTTATTAGAGTTCCTCCTACTTTTCTACCCAGATTTATAAGACGGAGGTTGGCCTGGGATAACATTTAGTTCCACCTTCCCACCCCAGAGGGAGGTTGGGGATTACACCTCCAGCTGCCTCACTGAGGCTATGGGAACAGCTTGCTGCCCAGGAGGGCATTCTTGGTAGATGAGAGGAACACTGAGGTTTCTGTTTTTCCCTTCTTGGTGTAAGTGAAGGCCATCTTCACCCGTTCACTCAGCCGGCTCCCCTCCCTCTTGCCTTGGCAGCCTGACTCCGCGGGAATTCAACTCCTACGGCTCCCGCCGGGGCAACGATGCCATCATGGCTCGGGGCACCTTTGCCAACATCCGCTTACTGAACAAATTTTTGAACAAGCAGGCCCCGCAGACGATACACCTGCCTTCTGGAGAAGTGGTGAGTATGGTGACCTCGTCTGGCCCTGCTGGTTGGGTGTCTACCCGGTCGGTCACTTTCCCTCGCTCTTAGCTCCTTCCCTGCCCCTCCTGCCTCTGGCTTCCTGCGGTCTCGCCAGGTGTCCATGTGGAGCTCATCAGTGATGGGGACGCCCTTTAGCCTGGGAAACCTCGTTCTGCTCAGAGGTCCTGCCTTTGGCTTGACCAAATCCGCTTTCCTGGAGTTGAGCTTCCAGAGCCTTTGAGTGGAATGCACGAGTTCAGAGAGTTGGAGGGGAGATTCAGGGTAGGGTAGAGGGTGTTTACCCAGAAGTGCTGCTTTAGGACTGTATTGGCAGTTAGTTGAGTTCACCGCCCCAGGAGGAGAGAAGGAATGTGGAGGTCCTACAGGGAACCCGTAGGTGGGCCTGCCACAGTGGGATTGTCTGCTGGGAGGCCTGAGAGAGGCCGGGAAAGCCTGCCCTTTGAGTTGGACAAGCCCGGGTTCAAGTCCCAGCTCCACCTCAGACCAGCTGGGGAGCTCCCAGCAATGCATTTCCCGCTGAGCCTGAGCGTTCTTACCTGTGAAGCAGAAATACTGTTCTATCTACCTCGGCAGGCTCTGAGGCTAAAATGTAAATGGAGGGACATGTGAAACAGCTAGTCTGGTGTCTGGTCCGCAGTGTCACTTCCCTTCCCAGGAAATGTGGCGAAGCTGCTGGAAACGGGCGAGGCCACTTGCGAAATAACCTTCCCAACCTATTTTAAAACAATAACAGCTAATATTTATGTAGAACTTACTATGTCTCGGGTACTGTTCTAAGCTGTTTGCATGCATTGTCTAATTTAATACTCGTAACAACACTTTGAAGTGGGTACCATAGTTACCCACATTTTATTTTTTATTTTTTTAAATATATTTTGTTGATTTTTAACAGTGAGGAAAAGAGAGGGATAGAGAGTTAGAAACATCGATGAGAGAGAAACATCGATCAGCTGCCTCCTGCACACTCCCCACTGGGGATGTGCCCGCAACCAAGGTACCTGCCCTTGACCGGAATGAACCTGGGACCTTTCAGTCTGCAGGCCGACGCTCAATCCACTGAGCCAAACCGGTTAGGGTGTTACCTACATTTTAAATTGGGAACCACGGCATCGAGAGCTCCTATATCCCTAAGGCCACAGATAGAGAAACTGAGTTTAAACCCAGGGAGTCTGGCTTCGAAGCCAGTGCTGTTCACTACCACGCCCACTGCCTCACCTGCAGCTGATTATGTTTTTGTAAAGTCTCTTCATAGACAGTCACTGGTCACCAGGACCAGCTCAGAGCCAGTGCCCAGTAATGTTCAGTGAATCAGGGATAATGAGCAAACTATTCGATGAAAAAAATACAGTTAAATGGTGGGATGCGCAAGAGACCGAGGGGAGGCCTTGCGGCGGCAGACATCGGGGCCTCCGGGCACTGACTGTTGCGGTGAACGTCACTTACTTGCGAGCCCCACCACGGCAGAACTTTCAGTCAGATGTTCGGTGCCTCTTAAATGAGGAGACAGAAGCAGAGAAGGACGGGCATTTGAGCCAACCCTTGAACTCGAAAGATAGACCTCGGCCAAGGACAGGGAGGAAGGGAGAGAAAACAGATAATGCAAAGAATAGAGGAAAACAGAAAAAAACATTGTTTCTTCAGAGTGATGAGATGGTTTCCTGTTGCTGTAAAGCAGGGGTGGGGAACCTTTTTTTCTGCCAAGCACCATTTGGATATTTATAACATCATTCGCAGGCCATACAGAATTATCAACTTAAAAAGCAGCCTGCTGTGTTTGGTCAAACATCTAATTAACTCACCCTAGTGCCTTGGCAGGGCCTGACTAAATGATTTTGTGGGCCTTATATACGGCCCATGGGACAGACGTTCCCCACCCCTGCTGTAAAGTAATTAGAGGGCAAGAAAGAGTTCTTTGAATTTTTTAAAAAAAAATCCCTAAAAATTTCACAGGAAAAGTTGATTAGTTGAAAAAAATCTCTCAAAATATAAAACAGAAAAATAAAGGAGAAATTAGAAACTGAGAAAAGTAAAGACTGAACTGAGGAAGCCCAACATCTGACTGAACAGAGGTACTGAAAAGAGAAGAGAGGAAATTATCACACACCAACATAAGGGAAATTCTCGACTGCCAGATCGAAGACTCCAGATTGAAAGGGCCACTGAGTGCCCAGCAGAGTGCCTGGAGATGACCTGCGCCAGGCACATCCCTGGGAAGTTAAGATCAGCGGAGGTCTGGCCAGGGTAGCTCAGTTCATTAGAGCATCATCCCTTGCACCAAAGGGTCACGGGTTCCATCCCTGGTCAGGGCGCATGCCTAGGTTTCGGATTCCATCCCTGGCGCCAGTCAAGGAGGCAACTGATCGATGTTTCTCTCTCACATCAGTGTTTCTCTCTCCCTTCCTCTCTCTCTATGAACATATCTTCGGGTGAGGATTTTAAAAAGGAGAAGATCTAGAAACTCCTGGAGAAGCTAAAACAGGTTATATACAATATGCTGGAGAGCAGAGGTGCCGAAGCAACACTGGGAACTTAGACTGATTTCTCCCTTACACTCCTGTCCTTCACACCCCACTCAAATGAAATTAAAGTCATAACACATTCAGATACTCAAAAATTGAAATTTTTCTAAAACCCTCTCAATCAACCATTTCAGTTAAGAGAATATCTATATATATATAAAAGACTAAGTGACCAGCTGACCTGTCAGTAGGGATGACGCTCACTGACCACAAGGGGGCAGATGTTCAACGCAGGAGCTGCCGAGCGACAGCAACTTTGCAGAGTGCCCTCTCACACTCTGGGACCCCTCGGGGGGATGTCGGACAGGGTAGGCCAAGGGACCCCACCTGCCGGAGGGACCCCGCTCACTCCGCAGATGCCCTTCAAGCCCTGGCACCGCCCCAGGTGCGGCTGGCCTGGGAGGGACTTCAGGAGTTGGCTCCAGGGCATGTCCAGCCTGTCTAGCCCAGTCCCGCCCCGCCAGCCACCTTTTAATTAATTTCTTTTCAATGTGCACAAATCCGTGCACCAGGCCTCTAGTAAAATATAATTTGGTCAGTGTAGATAGATGGAGCTCATTGGGAATCTGTAGACCAGGCATCTGTAGACCAACCTATAGGTTGGCTGAGTTTTCCGTTGGCTTTGCGTTGACCTGGCTCACTGCAGACCTCTGACCCTGCACACCCCACCAGGTCTCCCTGGCCTGTGTCTGCACTCTGTGCCTTTGCTACATCTGTAATACCTCCCCTTTCTCTTCCTCAGCTTGATGTGTTTGATGCCGCTGAGCGGTACCAGCAGGCGGGCCTTCCCCTGATTGTTCTGGCCGGCAAAGAGTACGGCTCCGGCAGCTCCCGGGACTGGGCAGCCAAGGGCCCTTTCCTCCTGGTGAGTATGACATAGGGACATCCCCCGCGGGCAGCTGCCCCTGTGGACTGGAAGGGACGCTGGGAGGGGCCAGGAATCCATTCTGGTGCTTTACTCTCCACGATGTGGAAGAGCAGCTCAGAAAAGCAAGTGGTGTTTGTTCCTCCCCTGCTTCTTGGTGGACTGGCTTCCCTTCTCTCAGTGAAGAGTAATCTGGAGGTGAAATGGTTCCCTCAGACCAGACATATCCCAGAGCCATGGTCTTTGGGGGTCGCAGTAGAACAGCTGAGCGGAAGGTCTGTGCAGTCTCTGAAATCATATCCAAAAGTTTGTCTGTATGTCTTTTTCTAAGGGGAAAATTCCATGGTTTTCATGATGATCTCAGAGGTTGAGGACCCAAAATTTGTTTAAGGCCATTGTCCCCGGTGAACTTGAGGAATAAGCCAGGGCTGCTGCTGCTGACCTGTCTGCCAGGTTCCTGCAAGGGAAAAAGTCAGGAGCCTGAGCTTTGGGTAAACTCAGGAAAGTGCTTCCTACGATGCTTTTTACTGCCTGTGAAAGTCTCTTTAGACTCAGCAGGGAAGGACTCTCTCTCTATGCGAACAAGACCCTCTGTAGACCCTTCAGCCTTTCAAGGGCTTGACCAGGAGGTTTCCCCAGGGGCGGGGCCACACAAGGCCGCAGAGGGCTCTCACCTCCTCAGGGACCTCAACAAAACCTGCTGCCGGCTTTAATCCTCAGGGCAGGTAAAACGGCTTAGCTGATGTCAGTGTAGATAACGTGTGGCTCAAGCCAATCAATGCACTTGGGAAACCCTAAGTAAGTGGTATCCACAGTAAAACATGTGGCTGTCCAGCAGGGAGCCCCAGACATCCAGGCTTCTGAAAATCTTTGAATATCACACACCTATTATTTTGGTTTTTTAATCAATCATTTTGTTCTGTCGGAAAAAAAAATGTTCTCTGATTATTTGGTAGTATGTCAGGGGTCTGCTCTTTTAGAATCTGCTGAAAAGAACCAGAGAAAAGAAGGAAGAGGTTTGAGGAAGGGAGCTGGTCACTGACAGTAGTGCCAGTCAGTTGGGTGGGAGGGAAGGAGAACTGGAACCCAGGGGGCGCTCCAGAGTCGAGACTTCGCTGTATCGCTGCTCTGCGTCCTGGCTGCCCAGACACCATGTACTTCAATCTGTCACTGCCCAGCCAGGGCCACTCAGCAGTCTCCTGGGCTGAATTCATGCAGAGAGGGTTATACAGTTGTGATCTGTGGCATTGACAGACCTGCACAGCCATTTATACAGAACTAGGGACATGAATAGTATGCATTTACAAAGATTTATACTCCCCCTCAAAATAAGTACATAATACATGTATCCAAAAATCCGTACAAAATATCTGCTATCCTGAAGAATCTTCCCTTCCTCCATAAATTTGTTTTTAAATTTGGAAACAGTCTTGGCCAGGTAGGTCAGTTGGTTAGAGCGTGGTCCTGATACACCAAAATTGCAGTTTCGATCCCCAGTCAGGGAAACATACAAGAATCAACCCAATAAATGCATAAATAAGTGGAACAACAAATCGATGTTCTCTCTCTCTCTCTCTCTCTCTCTCTCTCTCTCTCGATATATATATATATATAT